CATAACCGACGTGCATTCCTCGCAGTGTCGATGGATCGACAACAACAGGCTTTTGTATCGTATCACCGAGTATCAGCTGTTGCCAAGACTAGAGCCGCTTGGTTGTGGGGGTCGGTGCTGATTGGACCTTGCGCTGGACCCTGCTCTTGCGAAAAAATGTGCTCTTGCGAAAAAATGCACGTTTTGGACTTTGGGGCTTCTGCCCATTGCCTGCAGTGTCTGGTGTGTAGCTTTGCCAGCCGTCAGTAGTTGTTTGGTTCAAGGTTTGTTTCTGAGAATGTGGTGTTTTTTTGCTGCTGCCCATCACTTCTTTGCGGGTGTTCGGGTTTCCGCGTTGGGATATCTTTGTCGACCATTCTGCTCTTTGCCTTTGCGTTTCGCGACGAGTTTCTCGTTTTTGTGGTGAAGCCGTGCCTGCTCAAGTTTCTCAGGTTTTTGAAGGAAGGGTTAGCGTTTGCGGTTGTTGCTGCGCATCATTTTTCTTCGGGTTGCTGTTCCGCAACCCATCACTTTGTGGGGGCCGACGACGGCTTCTTCAGATTTACGTTTGGTTGCCTATTATTCAACGGTTGCACTTGGAGGTTCATGCGTAGTTATAAGTAGGGTTATAAGTAGGGTAACTATAATTATATCCCATATTAGGGGACTTATAACCCCACTTATAACTACCCATGAACCTCCAAGCAGGGCTTGCTACTCATCGGTCCTTTCCTGACGTCGTGTTGAAGGCGGTCTTCATCTATCGGGATCAGGATTTGCGGCTTGGGGCCTCTGAACCTTTTGGTCGTTGAAGGTTTGTTTGGCAATCGCGTCGGTCTATCAGTTGTGTGAAGTTTTATGTCCCAGTTCGCCTGGAGTGGGCTAAAGCCACTTAATTAGGGCCAAGGCCAAATTTGGAAGTGAGGCTTTTATGCTTGTCACTCTGTTGGTTTGCTGCCATCTATTCTTTCGGGGTCTTGCGCTGTCTCTCGTTCGTTATCGTTTTCAGAGACTGCAGCCCATCGGCTTTACTGTCTGGGATTTGGCGGCCCATTGCTCCTTGAAGCTCCTTATGTGTAAAAGGTTCGCTCGATCAGTAGCCGTCAAGTTTTTGAAGTTTGTGTTGGGATGTCAATTTAACTTTTTTCGATTAGTTCTTGTGTGCACACGACCCTACTCGCTTCTACATCATTCTCCACAAGGAAGCCGTAGGCATGAGGCATTGGGTGAGCGCAAGACCAACCAAACGGGTTGGTTCCGGACAAGAGCGATACATGCCTCTCATCTCAACTCGTTGACTTGTTTTACGTGTAATCAAGCACAAATCTGTATTGCAGAAGCAGCCGTCGCGCTTCAGCTGTGAGCGAAAGAGTCTGCACCTTCTCTTCCACACGTGTTGCATCCAGTTTCCAAATCATCGCTTAAAGGGAAGACCGTTTCTTGTTCATGTCTCGACGAATGCCTGAACAAACACGAAGCAATCGTGGGGATCATGTCTAAAGCAATCGTGGGGATGACACGGCCAGGTGGCCAAGAACTGATGGGCGTGGTCCAGTTGCTAGAGAAGAAGCGGCGATCTCCAGATGGAGCTACGCAGTCAAGTTGGCACCTCAGGTTCTGATCAGTTTGGAAGTTGTGCTTGACATGGTAATTTTGGTCTTCGTTGTCCAAAACTTCTGTTGTGAAAGCTTGGTCCCTGTCGTTTACAGTGCAGAAATTTTCAGCAAGCATATACATTGTAGGCTGTTCTCATAAACAAATGTGCCTGACAAACACGCGGCCGCAGACGGTCATTAGTTGAACTGCGAGCATGAATTCTCCAAGCATGGCGGCAACAAAGAGGGGTGCCGTCCGAGTGTCACTGAGGAGCGGACGATCGCATGCTTGGGGCGGCGTGCGCACGGTTCCGCGGCTCGCGCTGCGGCGCGGTAGATCTCGGCAGACATTTTCGATTTTCATCACAGGATGTCCATAGTCGCCATAGTCGCGCTGCAGCCGCCGCGGGGGACGCGTGATTCATTACAAGTTCGCATAATTACTTGGCCTCGCTTTTGCCATCGAAGCACTCGATGTGTCTAAAGTCCTGTTTTCGGCCACTTACGTTTGCCCGCGTAGTACACGGCGTGCACGATTGTAGGGTGGTGGCCTCCGGATGCTCGAAGCACTTCAACTACCATTATAAGTGGTTACGATGGTGGTGGTGGTGGTGGTTGATGGTCCTGTCGTTGGTCGTCTTGGTGCTCGTGATGGTCGCGGTCGTTGTGGTCGTCGTGGTGAAGTAGTCCTGGTGGTCCCGGTTGTCGTGGTGCTAGTGGTGGTCCTGATTGCCCTCTTGATTGTCTTGGTCGTCGTGGTCGTGGTGGTCGTCGTGGTGGTCGTGGCCGTCCTGGTGGTCCCGTCCTGGTGGTCGTGGTGATCGTGGTCATCGAAGTCATCGTGGCGGTGTCTTGGTTGTCTTGGTCCTCGTCGTCAGCACAGCAGTACCCGCCATCAGGCCGCCCCCAGCACACTCCCCGTGCTCAAAAGTTCCGCAAAAGTGCAAACAAGTGAGTACGCAGTGATGCCATGTCTTCCAAGAGAAGTTTGCCTACACGGCATCAGAGAGAAGTACCCACGTTGCCCCTGCACACATTGGAAGCGTTGCTAGGTGAGTTCACGGCCGACGAGCAGAACCTGTTTCAGCAACTGCTCTGTGCTTACAGCAGGGGCAATGTGTGTTCACGAAGTGAGATTTTTGAGGAGTTTCTCAAAGCAGTTGCTTGTTTATAGTAGCTTGTGCCTGGCATGTTGCGGCCGTGCTGCAGGCTGACGGTTTGTTCTCATGCAGGTTCAAGAACCATCAAGGCAGGAACCCGTGTTTTTTGTGCAGGTGAGCGTTGCCTTCAGCTTGCGCTGAGTCTATGCAAGGTGCAGCAGTTGTCAGCGCAGCTCGCTGGAAGTCCCTACAATGTTCAAGCTCTCTTGTTCGGATAAGGTTCCGACCTGAGCTCTGAAGGTACACAAAGCCTGCTGAAATGCTCAGATACTCAGGCTGAGCAGCTGACATCGACTCCTGCGACCGTGAAAACAGCTGTAGTCTGAAACGTAGTGTTGGGCTGATCTTGTGCAGGAGACAGGTCAACAGTGTGCCTTCTGTGTCCCTAGCCGTTTGGCTGGTGTAGCTTTCGGAAGCGGATGCCCCCGAAAAGGGCCGCCAAGTGGCCCGCAAGGGGGGCACTTGCTGCAGCTTGTTTGTTTGCCGGGAACCAGGCTCGACATCTGTGCCATGGTAATGTGCTTGCCTGTGCGAATATTTGCTGGCACATTGTGAGTATTTCTTGCATTACGTCCTATTATGTCCTGCCTTTCCACCTGATAGTTCTGAAGTGCAGTAGCGATTCCATGCTTCATCGAAGCAAGCACACTCCTTCAGCTTCAGTAGAAGCAGACACACGCAGAGAGCAACTCATGTTATGGGGTGTCCCGAAGTGTCGTTCTGACAGGATTGGTGTGTGTGACTGTGTTGGATCTCCGGGGGGGAGTACGTAGGGGATTTGTCACGCATTCGATGTTTACGATGATGCTCACTTGGAGTCGCGGCGGCTAAGAACATGTCGTGATGTGGACAGAAACTTGGAAGAAGAACACCTGCGAAGAGAATTAACAGGAATAAGAAGAGGCATAAATTATGCCAGCGTAGATTCCCCAAACAGTGAAAGAGCAAATGACGTGCATGACGACCATGATGACCACGAACAGGAGGACCACCACGACGATGCAATAAGGAGACCACCAGAAGACCGTCAGGATACCAGGAGCGCACCAGGAGAACACCAAAATGCTTTCCCCCAAATACTGGCACAGTCAGAACCACGGCGCGGAATGCTTCCCCCAAGAACTGGCGGGATTCAGGAGGATTCGATTCGAGAGTGGGTTGCCTCAGTACTGGTGTATCCAGGACCAGTGCGAAACTGCTTCGCCCTGGCGAAAATCGAGACCACGGCGCTTAGGTCTGCCCCCTTCAACTGGCCGGATCCGCGAGGACACTAGCGCTGCAATTCCAGGTTTTCGATAGCCAGCACTGGTCCATAATATACTACCATATACTGTAAGCTGCCAGGAATCCAGGCCGCAGGCGAATCCTCTGGAAATAATGGGATGTGCGAAACAAACGCGCGCCACCATGGTGGTAGGCAAATCTGCACCGTATCCTGGGGAGCCATTTTGGCGAGTGTGCCACGTGGCTACCTCAATCAATTCTCTTTACTCCTATGGTAAGGACCCCTTAAGTGTTAGCATGTTTTTTGGGAAATAAGAAGACAGCATTATCGCAAGCAAAGCTTGAAGGTGGCTTGGGCAGGGAAGTAAACTTTCTCGGACATTTTGTCCATGTCAAAGCAATGCGAAGCCCGTGCGACAGAGAGACGCCTCGTGCTGGCAAAAGGCAAAGGTCTCGCAGACTCGCATGTTCAGGCGGGCTTCATGATCCCTGGACGATCTGGTCCAATAGCTACCAAGGCGGCAACACAGGCACGGGCCCCGCTGCTGCACTCGCTTCGCGACACGCAGCACCCGCAGCTGAGGCGGGTCGACCCAATGCGCTGGCCACAGCCAAGCCGGTGCAGCCGGCCCAGCCGGCGCCACGCCAGGCGCAATCCAATCGACTCTCCCCGTCCCAACTCTTTGCCCCAACCTGTCAGGGCTTCATGAAGAGGATGGCCCCATTCCTGGGCTTTGCTGGTGACATACTCAGCATTGCGCACTCTAAAGCACATGTCACGGATTTGCAGCGTCTTTTCAAAGTGCTTCCTTCTCAGCAGCCGGATGATCAGTGCCCAAGCCCTCCTGACGTGCATAACTCCCTTGCTGGGGCAGCGGCGCTCGTGAAAGACCTTGTTCGGATATCATATTTATCGTGTGGAAAGCAGTCAGAGACCTCAAGAAGTTATGCCAAATGCAGTCAGTCAAGCTCAACATGTTTTCGAGAAAGTTTTGTGGTGCTGGAAGCTGAAAGAATGTAGTATGCGAGGTAGTTGCCGAACATGGCGGAAAAGCAGGGGAGGAACGAGGAGGAGTCCACAATGAATACCGACAAGAAGAACGCCATGTGAGGCTCCAACCGAAATCGGCGACGCTTATCGATTCTGGGGGACTGAGCTCTTAGACCAAGATGCCTAACGGACGTTCCCTTCCGCGGGGCCGAGCTGGTGCGAGGAGGGGCGGTGCTAAGAGCCAACCGCTCCATGCAACTAGGCAGGAGAGGATGCCGTGCGTTGGACGCACTTGGTCCTGATCCCCGCCCGGCCCATCCCGGCCCACGGCTTTAATTCTTTCCCCCATCCCCCGCTCCCCAAGTACATTAGATACCCATCAATCCACCAATGTCAACTCAGCCCAGTTGGTCCTGGTGCCGATAAGAGCATACAATCGTGCAGATCCAGGTTCTGCAGTGGCTGGGACCAGCACTCGACGGGCTGCTTCCGTCTCGACCGAGACGACGCCAGAGCAGAAGGTCAAGAATCTGGTTCAGGAGAGTGGTTGAAGATAGGTTCCTCACAGATCATTTGACGTCACTCCAGACTGTTTCCATGCAATGTAGGAGCACAAAGTTATCATGTTCTCGAAGACGACCTGCCCTTTCTGCAGCAGAGCTCCCATCTCAGAGTTCTTCGCACATCAAGGATGAAACCCCCACTTCAGAACCTGGCAAGGCAAAGGACGTGTTGAAGAAAAGCGGAAGCAAATTCATCGTGGTGGAACTGGATGAGCTTCCACCGCAGGAAGCAGTATAGTTGGCGTGTGCTGTGAGTATCTGATTATCTAATCTGTGTTGCAGGAGGCTGCGGCAATGCAGGCTGGACCTGGCGCGATGGGGAATCCCATATAGTGACTGTTTTAAAGTTTCCTCCAGGACACTTTCGCGGAGATGACCGGGGCACGCACAGTTCCTCGCGCTCCTCGTCCCTTCACTTGGAGTTGATTGCAGTCGCCCTGCACCCTTTCTGCATTCGCACAGAGTCACCTTGATCCGAGATCTTCGTCGGTGGAGCCTGCCTCGGTGGCTGTGATGATCTGCTTGCGATCGAAAAGCAGGGCAGCTTGCAGCAGGCGAGTGCGTTGTGATTGCACAACCAGTCGAGTTCGAGTGTGACGGTGACAGACGACCTGGGGTCTGCAGGTGTTGAGTGGGAAGTCCTTCCAGATCAAACGCTCTGAGGCTTGGCATGTCGTGCCGCATCATGGTGCATGGGAAGGCCCCTATCAAACCCTGCGGAGGCAGAGTGGCGTGCACAGCTGGACCAGCAACGGTACAGGGTGCTTTCCGTTAGACTCCGCGGTGCTGGGCTGGGGGTGTGCTGCAGATTTTTTGCGTGGAAACCGGAGGTGCTGCGGCAGCAAGGCACGGAGCCACCTGGGTCCCACCAGTACGACCGGTTCATGCCCACCAAGGCCACTGAGAGCACTTCGCGCGAAGCGAAAAGTAGGAACCGCAAGAGCTGCGCGCCCGCGCAGGGCCACTTTGCCTGTGGAGGCTGCGGCCTTCCGAGCCTCGGCAGCATTCCGGATGCCGGCTTGATTCGCGTCCAGAAGCCGGGTGGTCTCCGAGGCTTTACTCAGCAGATTCGAAGTTCCGAAGCAACTGTGGATGGCCGGTCTTCAAGACGTGCTACTACTCAGAGGCTGAGTCACTGAGCCTTGCTCCAGCCCCTGGGCTCCTTTAGCTCTGCGCACTGAGAGGAGGCTAACGGCTGCCATGTGGGCACCGTGTCCGAGTTTGGTGGCCTGGAAATTGTTTGTAATCGCTGCGGATCGCATTTGGGCAAAGGGCTCAGACATCTCCCACCTGTGTCTCAGTAAGCCTGGAAGCCGCTCTGCATCGGGCTTGGAGGCCACGTCTTCTTTGATGCATTCAAGCCAGACAATCCCAATGGCGAGCGACACTGAGCCAACGGGCTCTCCCTGATCTATGTCGAGGCCCGCTACCTAGGATTTGACACGGAATCTTTGTCCGGAGTCGATAGCTAGAATGAACATGTGTTAAATTAGCTGAGCTCTTAAGGCTTACTAGTGCTTTGTGGCCATGCAAGCGGGCTCCAATTGATGTGCACTGAGTTCCGGAGCATCGAGTGGGATTACTGTAACGGCGATCTCGCCGAGTACTTCTCGGTGCGTTCGCAAAAACGTTTCCGCCCGCTGCTGCCAATCCCGTCTCTGCATTTTGCTCGTGAGCGCCTATCAACCACAATCCGAAGAACGACGATTCGCCTCGGAAGCTGACTCGAATTCTCCCGACAACTCAGCAGGATTGGACTTCCAAAAGCATTGAAAGACCCTAAAGCTTGTTCGGAAAAGGGTTCCGAACCCTTTACAGCAATAGTAGCCCAATGCGACCATGCAGCACCTGAAGCAAGTACAGCCAAAGCTCAGAGACTGCACACCAGACAGGTCGCTGAGAAGATGTGAGTTTCGCTGAACCGTGCTTCGCCAGGGAGAGCCTGAGATGGAGCTGACGGAGGGAAAGGCCTGGAGACCTTGGATGCCCGGTGGTCATCCATAGATATACATAGCTTGCAGCTTGCAGGTGGACTTGAACAAGCCCGCAAACAAGGACGGTGGTGGCACGTGTGGTGTAATGTAAAGGCGCGCGTCTGGGGGCCGAGACATGCCGCGGCTTCCGTATGATGGCGCCCGCGCGTCAACTGCACCCCGCCTGCTTTCGCCGCCAGGCCATGAGAGGCAACCGCTCTGCGGCGCCTTCTGTCGCTTGGGAGGCCCCGGAGCTTGCTGCTTGCAGTTATCTTGTGAGAGGACGGGTGCGAATCGCAATCCTGCTGCCAAGGGAGGTGTGGTCATGTGAGCTTTGTGAACCTCGCTGGACATTGTGCCGGATGAAGGCGACGCCTGTGACGCTGCGAGCCTGCTTAGACCCAAAGGATTAGACCCCTTGAAGCAGAATCAAGATCCGGAGGGCCTGGAACTTGAGAGCAGCGCACTCAAGACGTTGAAACCCAGTGATCCGTTTCAGATTCCAAAGAGGCCGGAAGGGCCTCGAGTAGAGTTGCCTCAGATTCGCCGGGTAAGCCTCTGATGTTTCGGGCAATCGAAGAGCCGTTGCAGCTTGGAGGCTCTTGCTGCCTTGCAACTCCAGAGATTCCATGTGCAGGTGAGATGCTTACATGCCAGCCGAAGTTTCGAGCGGATCAGATCTGAGCGCTGTGTTGCTGAGACGAGGGCCAAGCAGAGCTTCTTTCAGTAGGCAGCAGGTCCGGCAAGATGATGAGTGTGTCATATCCAGAGGCCCGAACTTCTCAGCATGGCCAAATATTTAATACCGTGCCGTCTGCGGTGCTTGCTCGAAATTTTCGCTTGCTGCTGTCGTCCGACACGACACGCGCACAGACACAAAGATGCTGGTCTTGATGCCATCTTCCGTGTTTGTTAACAGTTCGCGATGCAGGCGGGTCTCGTGCAGCTGTTTCGGCTTTGGCATCCTCAGTAACCTTCGAGTCCACCAGAGTCATCCCCAGAGGCACTCAGAAGCCACACAGCCGAGCAGACATGCAACCTTCGAAGGGACAGCGGTTTGACCCTTGTGTTGTTGAGAAAGGCGATGCCATCAGACGACGACGAAGAAGAAGCATCTGAACTCTTCAGTTGTGGTATCTGCGAAGATCTGATGATTGTCCCAACAACGCCGCGTGTCACCACAGCCAGAGTCCATGAGCTGTCAGCAGCTTTGGCATGTGCTGCTTGTCCATCCGAGGCTGGTTTGTTGCGGTCGTTCCTTTTGCAAGGACTGCCCTTTAGCCTTCAGGTGTCCAACATTTCTTGTTATTCATGTCGGTCTGGTGAGCTGTGAGGAATGCGTGCGTCTTTGGATCAAGACCAATGCCCAGTCCGGTGGCATCCCTCGATGCCCTGGTGGTTGCATGCAGAAGGTGGTGCCTTGCGTCACATATCTCGAATGCACCTTCACAGTGCATTGTCGGCAGGTTCCATACCGCTTACCAAAGCATTCCATCGCACTGCGCGTTGCTATGGAGACTCTCCTTCCCAAACGCTTGGCCGCGAGACTAAAGGCCCCTTGCCGGAATGTGCTTCAAAAAGGGGCATGCGGGGAAATGCGGGGAAGACAGGAGTCAAATGAGTCAATGGATGTGCCTGTCTTCAGGAAGCCGAGGACGAGCAGGAAGCTGAGCAGCTGGGTGGCTTTCAGGCGCCGAGGGGTGTCTTCGGATTTCTGCCCATACCAGCAGGCTTGATGCTCTGACACATCGAGAATATAAGCGTAGGTTGACTGGTGGAAGCTCGAATAGGACAAAGATCAAGTCCATGGAGAGATTGGGCACTGTGAGAGTCTTCCTGTCAGGCCTGGAGTGAAATTGCTGCAAGTCGCGACATACTGCAGCCAGCCGATCTCAGGGTGTGTACCGGAGCAGGTCTGAGCAGCCCAGAGCTTCTGTTGACTCTCCGAGGTATGGCAACAACGTCATTGTCCGACAGGGCTCGCCCGGAATTGTCGTGGGCATCTGCGAGGATGCAGTCCACCTGACCGTCAAATTCGACGAACGCGAGGATGGATCCGACCTGTGTGTGAACGTCACTTGGATGAGTTTCTTCTTGGGCCTCATGAAAGGGCTAGCGGCCAGCGTCAGCGCACATGCTCCGGGGTGTAATGGTCGCCAGCAGCACAGCACGACAAAGCCAACCTGTAGCGAGTGTTCCACGCCTGTAGCATGACTTGAAGTCGACGAGCTGCTGCTTGTAGGGTTGTTCCAGAAAGCAATCAGCAGTTTTCACTTGGCTCTGAGGTAGTCCCAGAGGCACTGATGCTGCCGCTACCAGGTGGTTTCCGCCTTCGGCAACATGTTGTAGCGCTCTATGAGCTGTTGCTTAATTCAGACATGAAAGTGCCCTTGGGATCTGTGGGGCACGTCATTGGATCCCTGGGAGAAGATCGAATCACCGTTCTTTTCGAGTCTTTATCAAGGCCTGCGGCCACTCCAGGGGAAGTCCACCAGAGCGTGCCAGAGTACCCCGTCAGTGTCAACATTCGTGAAGTTGCTGCGAAGCGGCCCCTTGTGGGCGGTTTCAGCATTGCCCAGAAAGTCCAAGCATCTATGTCACTTGTCGTGGGCAGCAGAGTGGTGGTGCATGCTGGCTGCCGTGGAACCGTTCTGGCCGAATTCAGCGACACAAGGCTGACAGTTGTCTTCGAAACGTCGGAGACCGGAGCACCAAACTGCTGTAATGTGCTACCCCTGGAAATAATGCCGTGGTGTCAAACGCTGCCCGGGCTGCCAGCTGGAACGACAGTCCGAGCACTTCACCATTTGATGAGCCCCCATGCCATAATTGTGCCTGCCGGCGCTAGGGGTACCATTCTGGGAGGCGTCGATGCTTCTCTTGTCTTTGTTTCCTTTGACAACGGTCCGGCCATGGCTGCTGCTATCAGCTCGTTGGAGCGGGTGCCAGATCCTGAAGGTAGCCCTGGACAGGAAGAGACTTGGAATGCATGACATATGCAGGTGTTTAGGAATCCGTGGAGGTGGGTACCACGTCTACTGCCGGCTGTGGCATGGCCGGGCTGCTGCCCTGGCGTGCACGCGCAAAGGGAACTGCATCGACTCTTCGGGTCGGACTAGGAAAAGGGTAGGGATTCTGAGATCTTGGAGGGTGTCAGGCTCGGCAACACGTGCGTTGTGCAGCTCAGCTCAGCATGGTCGCCAGCAGCCTTTCCGATGCCGAGCTGTGTGGTCAAAAGACGATTCTGACAGACCTTGCCGAAACCGATGCACGGCCCGGAATGTCGCAGGTCCGACATGATGGCCAGGTCAGGATGGATTAGGAAACGGCAGCCAGCAATGGAAGGCTTTTAGGCAGAAAGGCGCGAAAAGCAGACTACAGCTGGTCTTGTCGGCTGCATACAAACATTTCAGTTGCATATTGCCACACCTGCATTTGCTACAGTTTTGGGTTTCCATAGCGGAGGGCTGCTGTCTTTGTCAGCCCATGCCTTAGAGGTTTCTGGCTCGATGTTCTAAGGATGCTGCGATAGCTCAGGGATCCCCTGTGTCTGTATTGGACGAGGATGAGATGGAGGACTGAACCTCCTCCGCAGTTTTTTTCGACTCTGCGTGCTGCCCTGCCGAGTATCAGGAGCTCGACTGCCCAGATGGCCCCTCTGACAAAGGAATTGCATGCATGTCGACACCGCTAGATGCCTCCAGTGTCAGAGTTGGGAACGTGGACGCGTCTGGTTGACTCGTCCTGTTTTGCAGATTTAGGCACTACTCAAAGGAGTAAAGTTTTACGCCAGCTTCAAGTCTGCAGACGGTCCCCGCGTCAGAAAGCCGAGCGACGCTCGGTGGCTTGTACATTGCCTGCCAGTTCGCGTCAAAGAACACTGCGACAGGTGGGACACACTATGCTCATGCAGCCCTGGCACGCATGAAGCTGCTAGGTTTTTCAGCCAGTCGTGTTGAGGTTTGATCTCTCGCGGACGAGTGCAGCAAACGCAGCATGTTGTAATGTCTCGCATACAATTCTTGCAGATTTCTCCCGAGTCCGCGAGAAGGGGCAAAGCCTGTAAACCTCTGCATGACAAGCCGCCCTGCCAGCATCCCGCAATTAAACTCCTGGCCCTTGTCCCCCAACTGCCTTATGAAAAGATGTCAGGACACATGGAGTCAGGAAATTGAAGTTAAGGACAGGCTGATCAACAACGTTGACGGAACATCGCAAAAGTGCTGGCCTTCCCGGTGAAGCTGAAACCTGCGGACCTCGGGCGCAAGTGAACCAATTGCAATTACAAGGACGAGCGATCGGTCGAAGAGTTCATCGACACAGTTCATCGGCCATCGACCACCGACATGGGTACATTGTATGGACCGGATACTAGCCAACAGACTCTCTCAGGCAGGATGACGATTTCAATATTGCCACCAGAAATGTGAGCATGCACAAGATGTCACGTGCCGCTACACAAACTCGCCACGGGATGTGTCGACTCAGAAGACCTGCCAGCCCAAAGCGTTGCACTGTTTAGGACCTTCGTGAACGCGTGCACGAACCTGGCTCGCTAAAGGTGCTCAATGCTCCAACCAAGACTCATGGCCACACAAAGCCCATTTGAACATAACTTTGATTACAAACACTTGCTCATCTTCAGTTGCGGTCTTCAGTCTGGCAGGGACGGCCGAATCGGCTTGTTAGACCGGCGTCTGGTGTTTCAACGTGTTCGGTCTGAAGACTCTTATTCGTGCATCGATTTGTGCAGACTCGCGGTTCCACAGGCCTGTAGGAATTTTGCTGATGCGTGACCTGTCGTTTGCATGCTGACATGATGTTTTCGCGGCATGCAAGTGGTCGTCAGTAAGGGAGAACCCCCGATTTTGGACTAGAGGTTTGGTCGCTTCCCGTCTGTGCGTCCTAGACCGTGTCACATGTCATTGATCATTGAATCGACCAGACTTCTGTTCACTTAGCTGTACATAGCTGCCGTCCTGCTGCTGAGAGCTCATTGATGGCGAAAATGCTAGGTAGTACTTAGATTCCTACATAGGTTTCCGCGGCTTGGTGTCACTTGAAGCGTTTATGTCAATGACCGATCCGGAATGATGAATGTTGAGATGGGGTCGGGAGAGGGTAAGCACAGTCTGCCTGGGTAGAAACCCGAACAACAGGACACCCCTGACCGACGAGCGCAGTGTTTGGATCAAAGGTCCGTAGTGCGGTTTGAGCCATGGGGGCTGGAAGCAGCAGATTTGTTGACATTGCTTCCAGCTTCTGCGTGAGTCGAGGAAAATATCATCTTCCAGATATCGATTTAAAGCTGGCGAGCGAGTCGAGTAGGAAAACAACTTTGGTTTCTTTGGAGCACCTGAATGTGAATGTTCCGGAATGGAATTCGGAAAACGACTGTTTCTGGTTCAAAGCTATGGGCCTCGTGCCCGATTCTCGAGCACAGGGTGTTTGCCACAACGTGCAGTCAGCCGGAGGTTCCCTGCAGGGGCTTGTTTGGGCCAACGCTGGCCTGCAGCAGATACATATGCCAATTGGAGAGCCGCCTCCAATGGATTCCCAGAAGCCACCAGGCGTCGTAGGCCTTGCCTATTCGGACATTATGGGCTTGCGAGCCACGTTGAGAGGGGCTGGCGTCAACTTTTCAGTGGTCCCACTTAAGGACCACATGAGTAATCTTCCCGGCGTTGGACCCGTTGCACTGCAGTGCACAAGTCCGACAGGGGTGAAAATATATGCCCATGGCATTCGTGCGGAAAGCTGGCTGACCCCTCGTGGCTGGTTGGATTGTGAGGCTGCCAGGAAGCAGAAGCTCGGCCTTCCCAGTGAGGAGGCTTCCCAATGTATGGGTATGCCTTACATCCGGCTTCAGTGTCCGGCAGGCAGCAGCTCGGGCCTAGCGAGGTTTTATCGGCATGTCTTCGCCACCGAGTCTGAGTTCCGCAAAGGGTCGGAAGGAGAGGAGTGCTGGGTGCCTATAGGAGCAGGACAATGGCTGGTGTACCAAGAAGTCGCTGGAGAAGTGCCTTATGACGGGTACCACATTGCCATATATGTAAATTGCTTCGTGACCGCCTACAGAGCAGCGAAAGCTCTTGGACTTGTGTGGAACAACCCTCGGTTTCCGAACCTAACATATGACTCCGAGGAAGATGCTGTTCGACATCATGAGTTTCGAATCTTGAAGCTTGTGGATCCTCAGTCTTCTGAGGTGCTCTGCGAAGTTGAACATGAAATACGCGCACTTTCGCACGGCGGATTTTGTGCGAAGGCGTGGTTGGAACAGGAGTCTGAAGATTCGAAGATCTAGCCGAAGGCGCGCGCTGTGCCTTTCCAGGCTAGCTGATCTCAACTTCGAAAAGGCGTGCCTCGTGAATCTTCGTGACTTTGCTTGGTAGATGTTCAACCATGCAGCGAAGAGCGCTTACTGCTCGTGACAGTGATGACGTGTGAAGTGCTCCGTCGTGCGCTCACAGCGAGCCGCAGCTGCTAGCCATGATAGCAACATGCCGGTCGACAGTGGTCCGTAGATTATGAGGTCCAGTTCCAGCAAGTAGTATCTGAACTGGCATTCAGCCCAAGAGCCAGCGCCACCCAGCAGCTTGTCACACGAAGGAGCAGCCTAACGTTTACTAAAGCCAGAAATTTGCTAAAAGAAATCCATCTGCACCTGGGCGCATCGGCAGCAGGCGTGGCATGTTTGGGATGAAGCTTGTCCGGTCGTGTCTGCATCTCCGTCAGTCTCTCTCTCTCTCTCTCTATGTGTGTGTGTGTGTGTTGGTGGGTCAAGTTCTGCAGCGACCATTCTTTGCTTTGGGCATGCCTCTACGACCTCCGAGGTTGCCGCACTTGAGTTTGCATGCGTGGAGAGTAGCAGGTGAGCTGCGCTCTCGCGCGATGACGGTGCAGGCTTGAAGCTTGGACGGTTCCGATTCTTGCGAAATGCCGTGCATCCACTCGGAAGCATGGAGTGTGTCAGGTTTGTTTGCTGGATTTTCCCTGGGTGCTGGACTACATCTTGGCGACGAGATTCAATTGTTCTCTGCGACAAATACGGCATGCGGTGTGCAGCATCGCCCGCATCCTAGAGACGCCACACAGGCTTTACATGTGGATGACACTTGTCTGCGCGGGTTGACCAGACGGAAGTCTCGACTTGTTATGGAAGCTGTTGCTACACAAAGTGCTTTTCGAGCGTGCATCAAGGTGCTTACGCTCCGTACCATTTTGTCTGCTGCAGTCGAGCGCGCACCTCGGAATTACCCTCTTAGGAATCTGAAGAATCGCTCACTGATGGACTTCTGCTGGAGGTTGGGCATACTCGTTTCTCAAGATTCCGACTCAGATGGAGCTGTCTCGGCAAAACCATTTATCGACAACATGATTCATGTCATTCGGGAGCGAGGCACCCAGAGTTCCTAAAGCATTTTGTGTGGGACCATGGGGCTACGATCTGTCGCGTGTTTCTGATTGCCAATCCTCAAGCGCTGAGGTGTCTCAAGAACTTTCCTCTCTGCTTAGACTCCGAATTCTTCCACTCCTTTCTGGAGCCATTGCCAGCCTCCTACAGTGCTGAGCTCGACTACAGACTTCGTCCTCGGGCTTCCGAGATGCCGCATCATCAGCCATAAATGTGTCAGTGCTCAGAGTTGCCTGAGATGAAGTTGTGCTGTTCCGTGTTCAGGCCCAGCCATCTCAGATTCCTGTGTGGAAATTTTCACCCACTGACGCACATGCAGTTCGAGGATGCTTGCACTCAAAGTTGGAAGCTGCAATGCTGGCTCATTCTTTGCACCTCCAGGACTCTGCCAAGCAAAAGGCGTTCGAAGCACAGACAAAAGTGCCAGACTCAGGGTCACATGAGACTGGAGATGGTGAGAGAAGCTTGCCATGCCTTGCCGAGGCAATAACTCAGGCTTTGTCTGAGCTGCCGTCACAGTGTCTCTCACTTGGTCACGAAGTCTCTGTCTTGAGACTTCGAGAGGTCTCATACTGCCTGCTAGCACCGAGGTTCGAACTTGGAGCTTCACATGAGCTCTCAAGAGCCAGTCCTCAAGCAGATACAGCTGATCAAGGACCACTACGAACCCCGGCACCATTCGTTTGTAGGAGGCTTGGATGTACAGCCGGCCAGGAGCATCTGCGAGCACCTCTCTGGATGCTTATGCACGACTTCCGAAGCCTGCAGGGCGAGGAGAAGCTTCTCGTCGAGGACTCTCAGTCAGCGCGTTGTGATGTGTCAGAACTCATGAGTTTATTTGCTGTGGGCAAGGATGTGCGGCAAGCGGTTCGAGCGACTGCAGAGTTGCAGGCATCAGTCCGGTCATAGAAGCACTGGGACCACGAGATGCAAACTGGCTCTGGCACTGAGGCGCGCGAAACAGGCGAGCTCCCGTCCTGGCCGCAGGTGCTGGGTGACACTTTGCTACTCTTGCTGCTCCCTGAGCTGCAGAGTCTTATTGACATCCATGGCTGCTCTTGCTCCACTGACAATGTAGCAGCAATAGTACACCTACTGTGCAATGCAGGGGCTGTCTATTCGGTCAAAATGGTCCTTTCAGCTTCTGTGGGCTTCAGGCTCGCACTGCGCTACTGAGCATAGCTCAAAGCTGGCCTAAGGTTGCCGCTTTGGAAGCTGTCAGCTTTGGCAGTTGCCAAGGGCCAGGCAGGAGAGAAAGTCGGAAGTCCGAGTCGCAAGGGGTGCCTCGCAAGCACAGGAAGCCTTGACGCATTTCGTCGCTGGGCCACCACTGGGTGCTCAGATCAAAGGGATGCGGTGAAAACAGCTGCAACAGTCTTCGGCTTTGTCTGAAGTACGCCGTGCGAGGTGCCAATCTCGGAGCTCAGCGCCTTCTCAGACGGCTCATTGAAGTCTTGTTGAGTGAGAAGGTTCGATCATGACGGGCGGCCATTACCACGATCTTCATAGTGCCAAGAGCAGGCAGACTTTATGGACATCGCTCTCTGGTTTGCAGCTGAACCATCGTCGGCCACAGTCTTAGACTAGTCTTGGACTGCAGGGCCGCAGATGCTGAGAGGTCAAGGTACATGGAAATTGGCTGCCATGCTCGGTCCAGGCAGCTTTGCTGACCAGTGGGGAGGCAGTGCATTTCCTCCTCCCAGAGGCACAACATGGCACAAATGACAATGCTTGCGCGACACCTTGGCGTAAAACTGTCAGCAGGCAGCCAACGATGACGAGTTTGCGAGCTTTCGAAAAGCGATTTGCTCAGTGAACGCTGGGCTGCGGGGTGAATATGTGGAAGGCTGTCTCGACTTCACTCGATAAACTAAATACTGAGGAAGGGCTCATGCGTACGCAGGACAACCTTGCATACCTGCAGGGGCATCTCCTCAGGCGCGTCGCAGCAGTAGAAAGCAGGGGAGGGATACACAGCGCATGGATAATTGCACAACGAAGGCTGCCGAAGCATCTGCGCGTGCATGTTTCTGCATACTGGAGAAAGGCCGTGGAGGAGGCGGGCATCGTCTGCACTGGAATGGGCATTTCTTGTGGTGCTTTCGCTAGGTCCACCTCTACCTGCAGCTGTACCTGAGAGTCATTGAGGTGGCAGAGATCTGTTCACTCGGATTTGTAGCAGTATGGATTTTCGGGACGTGCTGCTTTGTCTGATTGTTGCGGTTGGTTTTTGCGTTTTCGACATACGGCAGGCTTTCCTCGAGGTGCAAAAAGAGGCCGGATAAATTTAGTTTCTGGAGGATGTGCATTGTTAGGCATAGACACAGGTCCACACCTTTGTGCAGACCCAGCTCTTCATAGAAGTGCTGCTTGGTCTGCGTGGATCCCAGATCTATGAATGTGCGGATGGGGAGAGCACTCACAGGGTTACGGACCGCCCACAATCAGTAGCCGGGTTAGACAGTGTATCGGCACACCCTTGAGCCAGCAGCGATCTCATGTGCCTCTTTCGTCAGTGCAGTTCCTAGCCTGTCTAGTTCAAGATGCCATGGACATCGTGACCGGGCACTGTTCCTTTGTCTGGCTGTCAGCTTGAGTGTTTGTACGGACGGATAGGAAGCAGACGCAGATAACAATCACGTCAAGCTTGAAAGGGCGTGACCTGAAGCTTGGGCTGAGATGTTTCAGGAGTAGGCAACTGGGAGCCTGGTAGTGCAATCACGTTCCGGCGGTCATAATGTGCCGTTCTGTTCTTTTTGTTAAGCTGAGAAGTGCCTGACTGCAAGGGACACTGGCTCACATGGGCTGGTTATTTGTCGAGCACGGACTCAACAGAAGAGGAATCCAGATGGCACATAAGTGCCAACGCCATGGGACGCAGCTGAGAAAGAAAGGGCTAAAGGCAAAGAAGAGAAGTGCGGCAGACAGAGCCTAGAGCCTGAGAGTGCTACAGCTGCTAGGCAACATTCGGCAGTCCGAGGCCTCTCTTGACTTGGCTCTCGACTGACGGCGTTTCTCCTCGCCCGCGCGGTGTTCGTGACGCCAAGTCTGCTGCGCATGCCGCGTGAATTTCGGGCCGCAACAATTGCGCCCGCCCTCTAGTTCTAGAGCCCCGCAGAGCTGCTCAATCCTGTGGGTGATGCATCGTCCTGCTTGCATCCCTCCTATGTCCAGCAAGCATCACTCTCATGTGCAAAGATCCATGAACTCAGCAGCACGAGAACAAAAAGATAGCGATCAGGTGAGCTAGGCATCGAAGCAGCTTGAGAAAAAGTCAAGTCTTCGTTGCATCAAGCATGCCCTACATGAGCATGTTGGGGCATGCGAGCCATCGTTGTGCTGTACGTGCGTGTGCGTGTGTGTCGAGTTCAGAACGATGAACAAATTCTCCTCGACATTTTTGCAAGTGAGTGCGAGCATGAAAGTACCCAAGCTTATCATCCTGACCCCGGGCAAGCCCCCTGTCTCCAGGCCTTACTTGTCGAGTCCTGTTTCCTGCAGAAGGGGGGGCCGAGGCGGCGAACACGGGTTTAACGGAGGCTGTCTCAGGCCCGGGTCGGCGGATAGCGGCGGATTCCAATACCCAGGCAGGTGCCTACGATGGTATGCCCAAGCACACTCTTTCAGCTATGTCCTATGCCTTGAGCCACTTGCCACAGCCATGATGCATTGGCGTCATTGAGCCTTTCCAATGCTCATCGCAGGTAAAGCCACTGCTGACACAGCATGCAAGTTGCAAGGGAAGCTACGTTGCTATATATCTCGAGAGACGCACATGTTGACACATCTTGGCACTTGGCGCTGTCTTTCAGCTGGCTCCGCGGTCCGAGTTCGAAAAGGCCCCTCAAAGTGGCCGCTGCCGAAGGCACCAAGGCAAGCAGCGAGGCTGGGAACCCGCATTAGTAAGCCTTAAAAGAACGTGAAGTGATGTCTCGCTCTTCCCCTTTCCTTTGAGGGCTCCTAAGCTCGCCGTCAGGGCCTCAGCCTGGCAGCAGAGGGAGCGTTGCAAGCTGATGGCAGCTGAGGTCTAGAAATGCCGAAGAAGTCCAAGGCGAGCAAGAATGCTACAGGAGCTTACCGCGTGAAGCTGCGCGTCCCTTTTGAACAGCGCTTGGTGCGATACGCATCTGCCGGCTGCAAGGAGGCTTGAAGAAGGCCTGAGCCACTTGTTGGGAGATGTGATGGGCTGATTTCACTGCCATTATGTCAGGGTCCTGTCATGGACGGCTTCAGGCTGGCAACTTGCAGCAAGTACAATCTGGCGAAGCAATCTGTCCCCACGTCTTTCCCCACAAATGTTTAGTCTCGAAGGACCGTGGAGGAGCCTGCATATCTCTCCATCAAGGCTGCCTGGCCTGGTTGCTGAAGAATGACACGCGATTCGGTCATGACGGGAACTGCTGCAGCCCTGGCCAGGAGGAGAATATTGCACCTTTCACCCTTCCAGTGGAGGCCCTCGTTCACAGACGAAGGAAGTCTTTCAAGAACTCTGTTCCCTTCGCTTTGCTGCGTTATGCTGCGTTCGAGGCCTTCACTTTTGAACCCGAGCCGGACATGGTTGTGAGTGTTAGCCTCGGTCTTTACATATTGCTGCCCAATCTGGTTGTTGCTCTATCTCTTGAGGCCATTTTAAAAACGGCGATACGGAGCGCAAAATCTACTGCAACATAGAGCTCTCAGAGGAGGAGCGGCTGTAGTAGAATCTGACTCTGGTCTTTGCTGATGTGTCATCTTCTGGCGACTCGCCATTCTTGGGGGTGTCTGCTTTTGTTGTCTCTCCCCGGCATCCATCGGAGCATCTGGGGGGCAATCAGCCTGGCCTAGCACGCTGGCAGGAGAAAGCAAGCGTCAAAGCTCTGCAGGATTGCACGGAGCCCTGCTTGTCCGCACGTATGTGAGTTTCGATGCTAGCAGGAAACAGCAAAGGCCCAGGGCCTTGAGTTTTTCCCTTCCATCGCCTCTCCGGCTTGTGGACGTGTGGCCAGCAGGGTTGCGAATTGTCCCTTCTGCCAGGCAATTATGGCAGGGCGCTTTTTGAGCAGAGCTCGGGGCGACCCTCACAAGGCCACAGCGTGTAGAAGCAAGGAAATCGTGCCACTTACTAGTTCCACGGAATTCTCAGGCCATCAAGCTCATGTTGGCCACACAGGAGTGGAAGGCAGAATACTTCAAGGCCTGCTGGCGCACATGTGGGATGTCGTCAGTGTCATTGTGGCATTGGAGGCCGGGCCGGTTTCCGATCACCAAGTGATCGATGATCTCAAGTTTTCTCCTCAACCATGCTTCCTCTGGATGTACATGTAGGGGCAGACTGCCTCATGCGGAAGTGTATTGACTCTCACCAAGGTACGGCGTAGTTTACTTTTGTGGCCGAGATTATGGCATGAGGTCTCGAAGTTGTAAAGTTGCTTTCTCTCTGCAGCGGGTCGTGGGTTATCTCGTGACAGGCCCACAATTGTGTGCCGAGCAAATCGGATACCAGACGAGTGGTACAAGGACCGCGCACTCTTGGTCTCATCATCTCGTCACCGAAATCACCTGTTGCTGTTTCTCTCCTGCACAGGACAAGGCTGCCGGCATTGAGCGGCTGATCAGAGTATTGATTTTCTCCATGGAGTACATGGTCAGATATATGGTTGTGCTGGGCGCCTACATTGCTACGAGACTGAGTCATGCCGAAGACTCGCGCCCTGTCGCACAGAACCTATGGCTGAACTAAGCACCACGTGCATCCTTGCGCAGCGTCCTACATCTGCTTCGGCGCCATTCTTTTGGTTCTGGGTGTCTGTGATGTGCTACCATCAACAGCGACAGCGTCTGAAACATTGACAGGTTCCCTCAAGAGGTAGCATTCTGTTTGGCCGCACAAAAGCGTCTCCATGACTGGTCTAGTTAAGGCATCACAGTTTGGATGCTTGCCTTGTCGATCCAGAAACCGCAACTTTGCTACCCAATCGGCTGCCAGCCAATCTCAAGTCCAGTCCGCAAACATACTTTGGGTGGTTTGAAATCCCTGAGCCTTCCTCGTGTCACCTTTGACATGCCGGCATTCTGCTTAGTCCTTTTGAGCTTTCCCAGATCGGTGGGGAGCAGAGGCCCGAAATCGAGGAAAAACATTGAGTGGGCTTGGACGCGACGCTAAGCAGCTGTTGATCTAAAAATCGCAAAGGAACTAGGCGCACAAGCGCACCCTGTCCAGCCCGTGCTCAGTGCCAACTCTGCATGAAACTCTGGTAGCACCTCTACACAGCTCGGGAAGCCAAGCTTTCAGAGAGTGAAGCGAAGCACTGGCCTGCGAAATTTGGCAGAACCCAAGGGTGGGGTAGGATCTGCCTGTGTTTGCAAGCTTGTGTAATGTAAGGTGGTGCTTTATTGACTCAGACTGATGCATGAAAACTCGAAAGGAGGGGGGTTGCACAAGCTGTAGTGCACGCTGGAATGTAATTCGGAATATGGCCGCACTTCGGATCCTTGCATATGGCCGGAACTTCATCAGGCCTGGCAAAATCGAGAACAATTGCCTGGTGGTCGATCTTAAGGGCAGCGCCCCCAGAGTGCGTCCGAAGCTGTGCTGTGCCTAATAACTCTCGAAGCACAGCCGAGGTCTCGGGATCTCCGGAGTTCCGATATCAGCCTTGTCCAAGATCTACTCGGCACCCCTGACATCTTTGTCCCTTCCAGCCTCTCAAGTTTCGGTGCGGCAGAGCCAGGTCATGAGTCATCACTACATTGGTCGGGTCTTTAGGCGCGGCAGAGCTGGGCAGGAGCGGAAAGGCGGGAAAGCGCGGCCTTCTGTGAAAGGTTTTACGTTGTCAACATGTCCAGCGGCTTGAGCACCATTGCTGGCTGGGCCGTGCTGGCAAGTTTGCGGAACTCGCATTCTCGGCACACAGCTGAGCAGCAACATAAGCGAATGTTGTGTCAGGTCAAAGGCCTGCTGACCGATCGGCAGAAGTGGCTGCCTTGGGCTACGGTAGTCCCATCCTGGGCGATCCCATTGCATCGCGGCACCTGCTTGCCAGCACAACAGATCGGTCGACGAAGTCGGAGCGAGGGGGCACATCATGAACGCACAGACACCACAATCATCAAGCATTCTTTGTTATGCATGCCTTCTTCCCCTTGCGTTTGTTCTGCAGTATCTCCAGGTTTTCCAAGGGGATGGTGAAGGGCTCTAGGGTGCTGCATTCAAAGCAGCACTAGTCCTGGCACCTGACCTGCACGCATCTGCACGCCTGCGGACTTTTGCTCAGAACGTTTTGAGGCGTGTTAGTTAGGGGCACGAACACCAGCTCGAGGCAAAAGCTGCAGCTGTTGGACAACCTAGATGATTTGAAGAAGGCGCCCGTGTGCTCGCGTTTGCAAAGTGTGGAGTTTTTGGGCTTTTCTGGGTTCTGGGATCCAGGATTTTGCAAATCATCAGCTGGAAGAGGACTTGGGCCAATGACTCAGCCGCACCAGCAAGCAGGCTGCAGAATACAAGTGTTGCAGAGTCAGGTGGCACGAGACCGCTTATCAAGACCTTCTTCCCATTCCCACTTCAGGCTGATGCAGATCTGCATTTTGCGTCCTGTTCACTTGTTGCCACCACGTGTGTCTGCAGGGTCCACCGTTCGACAAGGGCTCAACTGAAAGCCACATGTCTGCAGTGCTGCATCTTTTGTTGCCAGCCGCTATCACGGTTCAGCGTGTTTTTCGACAATGGAGCTCGCAGGACTGTTCCCACCATCTGATCACATCCGTAAATCATCCATACACAACTGAAAGGGAAGTGCTTGAACACCAAAGACGATCCGTGTGCCTGAGACGCGACTCCAGCACTCCGAGACGTTTGGCAGGGTACGTCGACCAGGAAGCGATAAGGGCCCTCGCCTGAGGTTGTACCGCCAAGCCGCTTGAGGGTACTCACAAGGCCTGAAGCACACTTTGGCCTCCTTGTCTTGGAGCGACCTTGAACATTTTGGAGCCGCGGATCTGTCAGTTGCTGACGACAATGGGTGCACGGGGTCGAATATGGGATCCCACGAAGACCAAAGAGGCCTGGAACAATGCTGCCTGAAGCTGGGGATTTGAGCTGTGTGCAGACTTTCGCAGGAAAATGCAGCTTTGGAGTATGCTCCAGAGGCCTGCCAGTCAGCGTTCAACCCATATGCGTAGCCATGTGGTGACATTCACTGTTCCCTTTTGCAAGGCATACGACTTCTTCGTCCAGAATGAACTCCCGGTGCCACCCGACTGTCAGAAGCAGCACGAGGCAGTCTAATTCGTAGTGCTGGCCCCGAGTGACTGCCTGCAGTGCAAGGCCGCCAAGCAAGCCGAAGAGGAAGCCAAGCGCAGCGATCTTGACTTGCCATGCTGTGTCACGCTATGCCGGGCAGAGCTGCACCTGCCACTTGCACTTCGATGCAGCGACACAGCTGAGGTGCAGCGGCAGAAAGCCCCAGTGGAATTACAAACTCAGACATGAAGGTGCCCCGGCCCACGTGCTTGCATCTGTGTGTGCATGTGCTTGAGTCCCTGAGGCTAGCAACGACGGGGCCAACCCGGATATGCTTACAGCCCCCGGAGCGTTGCCGGATGAGGCGGGATGACCAAAGAGTCGAGCTTTCCAGCTTTCCAGCCATCTGCTGTGGAGGAGGAGGACGACGACGAAGAGGAGGAGGAGGAGGCTTGCAGCCCAGACTCGCTAGCAGCAGCAGTGATTTACATCGGTTCCAGTTTTCGAAGTCCAGAGTGCGACAGATCAGCAGGACATCATCGTCCAGGATCCAGCAGCTATCAAGCCTAGGGGGCTGTTCAGCTGCAGTCCGTGCTGGTGTGGGAACAGCTGCCAGTGCCTTACACGCTGCAAGCTTGCAGTTTTGCACACAGACTCTCTCTCTCTCTCTCTCTGTTTCAGTACCCTTCAACAGCCAAGGACAACTTGTTGTGCTTTACCGGCAGAGTGTATTTTGTTGACAGGATGTAGCTGTGGGATATTTGGAGCAACGCACCAAAGCCACTGCAAAGCAGTGCAACCGCTCTACATCCTGGTTCGACAGGTTTGCTTGCTTACACTCCGCATCGAAGATGCCACCTGGAGGTATATGCAATGTGCATTTGTTTCATCGGGGCCTTAGGAGACAACGCAGCATTCCTTCCGTCTTTGCTTTGCAAAGCATTTTTTGGAGTGCGCGCAGTGCTTTCCAGTGGAGCTGCTAAGACAGATAGCCGCTGATTTCCGATGCTGCGAAACCGCCGAAAACGATCAGCGGGCAAGTTCATGGCGGGGCTCGGCAAGTTCCGCTTAGCCTCCCTGCGTAGAGCTTGCTAAAGAGCTATGTATGCCTGCAGCACCTTTCAGCATTGCAGTCGCGTAGCAGGCAAAGGGTAGTAGGCGAAGATGGCGCACGATGTCCACGCTTCCTTACCAGGCCAGGCACACTCTCCCGGTTGGCTTCGGACCTGGATTTCCTTGAGAGGTGATGGATCTGCGAGACGCAACGTGCGAGGCCGACTCAGTGCTGGTGACCGGTAGTGACATGTCAGGGATGCAGCAAAGCAGGCAGAGTCCTTGTATGTGCCCGATGGACTCGATAGTTACTTGTAGATAGTTGCTCTGAGCGAGCATCAAGCTTACCTTCATCAGAATGCACAGCAGCAGACTCGCTTAGCAGCACCCATTTGGGGCGGGATACTCTCGTTATGAATGGTAGGGCCGACGACGAAGTCGAAACACCGCCGCCCACTTCCCGAAGCGGGGCAAGAACAAATGGCAGGGAGTCGGGTGTGGCGAGAGGGTTGGATTATGTTGGAGTAATCAGCAAAGCAAGCACTTCCACTTGGAGAATGAACGGACGGATGCCGATGCAGGAAGTTGCATCAGAGAACCAAAGCATGCCCTGCATCACGATGTGATGACCCTTCGCAGATCAACTGATGCAGGCCTTGTGCCAGTGCTCCAAGCTTCTGGAAGGTCGGGCTCTCAACAAAAAGCACAAAGCACAAAGCACAGGGCCTTCTTCGCCTTGTGCCTTGTTACTGCGCGTTGCAGCGCAGATTCGGATGATCCCTGGCTCGTTGCTCGGGCCTCGAGCCCTCCTCGATCTCGAGCTTTCCTTTCTCTCTCCTCGGCCTCCTCTGCCTCCTCTGCCTCTGCGTTGCCTCAGAGCCTTCTTAGGTCGACATTTTTGAGAAGCTCCGTGAGTGGCTGCGCCGCGACCTCGGCGGATCTCAGGGCCGCCTCGGCGGCTCTCTGCGGCCGAGGCCGGGACGTCCTTCAGGTGCAGAAACTGCTGGACCCACTTCTCGAGGCCGGCTCCGCTCTGCAGAAACTCGTCGTGGTAAGGTAGACTGCATGGACGGCGGTGTTTTTTCAGGTACGTGCATTGCAAGCCCTGCGGCGTTTTGGGACTCAAAACCTAGAGGTTGCCAGTCGGGGCCTCGCTCTAAGAGCTTGATTCACCTCGCCTCGCATCGGGCTCTGAGGGCTGGGGCTTGGCGTCATTGCCGGTTTCTGCCAGCATCTTGGCGAGTACGAGCGGCCCATGTCTGGTCCGTCCTCCTCCCGTTCAGGGCCGTTCGATGTGCAGACCAAGGAGAAACGACAATAACACGGAATTGATGGTGGCAGCCGGATTTGTCGAGGCTTTCCAGCTCAGCTACTTGCGGCGAATAGCAGAGATGCTGCTCAAAAAGACAGAGATTTGCTTTCACAACCTGGGACCTGGGCTTGCACAGGACTTGGTCAAGCTAATGGATTTGCACAGCACTCGCCTTAGATCATCTGTTTTGGTGCATGTTGTGGATTTTGCTGCAGCTTAGGAGATGACGGAACCGTGCAGGACAATGCCTGCGTGGCTGTCTGGAGGCGGGAGCCCCTACATGCCTCTAGCTGCTTGGGCAGCTAGTTTACGTGAAACCTCGCTTTGTTTGTTGCACCGTGTAGACTGACATGCTTTCTTAAATCTTTCCTGTCGTGCAATGCAGGCTGGCCGAGCGACAGTCGCATGGCGCAGAAAGGGTGGTAGAGGCAAGGTTTGGCAGGCTGTTGTCTGTATCTTGCAGCTTTCCATGCGGCTACCGGCGTCGCAGACCGACGGATTGCGGAGGGTGCTCACTGCAATGAAGGCACTGCTGGATGTCGAGAGGAGGGAGTCTCTCAGCAGCGCCAGCCTTATTCGATCATCTCCTTCAGGACCATCGCCGCAACTCCTTCGTGCAAGTGAATGGTCTTCTCGCGCTTGAGAAGTAGCTGCCCTGGCTTGCCGGGTGTGTGGTGAAAGCGTGCTAGTCAACGAATCTGCTTTTGTGGAAGAAAGCTGGTGAGGGATCAAGCTCCAGGTTGCAGGGCAGCTAATTGCAGGCATGTCTAAGCACATTAAAGTGCAGTCTGTTTGGCAGAACCTGTGATCGATGCAATGTCTGAACGCGATCGTTGTGTGACCCAAGGCTTGTTCTTAAAGGCCAAAGGCTCAGCTTTGTTCGGTTTGGTGGGTCTGCCACACACGCACCTGGAGTCGCAGGGGTGGTTCCGACAGATGGATTTCATCATGCGGCCCAAGAGGACAGCCTTGGTGACAGCTTGCGTAACATTGCAACATGGGACGTCTTAAGCTGTGAAGGCTATGAAATGCCATCCTCGCAATCTGCAGCTAGCCTGGCGCGAATTGCGTCACAAGCTCTGATCTGCTACGCTTTCCAGCGCCTTGTCGTGGCAGGGTCAGGCGCGCTGCCCTTCGCGTCAAGGTGGGGAGCTACCAAACATCCGCATTTCTTCAACCGTCGCTCGCAGCACCTGGACCTGCGCCGTGTCGAGCACGAGAATGAGATGTGGGGAGCCTAGCGGCCTAGCGGCATGCATAGGCCGCGAGATGCCGGAATTGGATACCTGTCTCAAGGATTCCCTTGAGCTGTGCCTTGCCAGTGAAGGCTGGGGCTCTTGTGAACGGGCAGCGTGCAGTGAGCTTTCCGTGAGGCGGACGCTTTGAGCCGCTGGCTATTGAGCATGGACTCCTGTGGGCAGACGTCTCAGACATTCTCAGACTTAAAGACTGGTGTTGTCAGAGCGGTTGGAGTCCACGGCAGGTTCTTGATGGAATATCATGCTCGCCTTCGTCAATACCAGACCCCCGCTGAGGCAAGTTTCTTCTCCATCACATCGCTTGGATGAATTCTCAAAGAATTGATTTTGCGACCCCAAGGTTGCAGGGAAGTACATCAGGCCTTGATGTGCTCCACAAGCGTTCCTTGGTCGGAGCCGAGTTACGCAAAGGAACGGAAGACTTCTGGACAGCATGTTCGTCGACCTGGGTGTAAGGACTTTGAGCGGAACGTGCAGGGGGAGGGTGGGGACCCTGCTGGTGTCTAGTCTTTTCCAGGAAACTCGGGCATCGCAGGCTCTTCGAGCGGTGGTCGCTCGGATAACCGAATATTTTGTGACTCACAAGCTCGTGCAATCGGAGAGCCTAGGTGTCGAGACTGGGTTGCATCTCTTGCAAGTTCAGATTCGCGCACAGCGCCTGAAAACGGCATGTGCTAAAGTGGACACGTGCAATCCACGCTGTAGCAGAGCACGTCTCCCCTGACGACTATGTGCTCGTCAATCGGGTCACTGCGTTGCGACTGAAGGCTGTTCTGGTTCCTTCAGTGTCAGAACATGTCTCCGCAGTCGGTTTCATGAAGTGCATGTCCAATGGGCAGCGATGGGCAGCGGCTCCAGCTCGAAGCGTCCGCTGAAGCCTTAGGCGGACGTGCAGAGTCCTCTTCTAAGACAGACTGGCAGACCTTTCGGCGCCGTCTCTGCAAGCAAGGCCGGAAGTGAGCGTGAATGTGGTGCCACAGCCACAAGAGCCAGAACTTCAAGAGCTCACGGCAGCTGGGTATTCGCCTCAGCGTCTTGAGCTGAGCTGGTGTCATGCTGGAGATTCGGTTGGATCGAAGGTCCGGACATCGTGCGGCCAGCCTCCGAAGAGTTCAGGCCAGGGCCAGGGACATCCAGGGACCCGAGTCGAAGTTCTCTGTTCTCGGTTCCCGGGCCCGGCCTCACGGAGGCCGCACGCAAGGCACTTGCCGCGATCCAGTGCCACCAAGGCATCTCTTTATGTTTTCGAGTTCTGCTGCGACGGTTCGGGCTTTTGATATCCTTGCGCTTGCAGGTACGACGAGTGCAAGCCGTGGAAGCCCGGTTCGGGTATCTCAGCTGGTCGATGTCGACCGTTAATTCACGTCCACTTCGGCTTGGCGACTGGCAGGCGAAAGTTTCGATGTTTCTGTGGAGCGGGAGCCGCATGCTGGAGAAGGAGGTGCCTCACGGAGGGGTGCGCTGAGCGAGTCAGCGACATGCTTGAACTGGCAGGTTGTGGCATCAACCGTGGGAGAGCTCATTCGCACGGCCAGGGACACCCTGGATGTAGATGTTGATGTGATCTGTGAGGGTGTAGAACTGCAGCATCTGCCTGCAGATCTTGGGCTGTACGATGGCGTCTGCCGCTCGTTTCCTGCAACCCTTCAGGCATATGCTGCAGGAAGTACGGAGCGTGCAAAGTGGCTGGAGAACCTGCTAGAACTTCAAATAGACGCAGTCAGACGGCTGGTGTACGGGTGTTGGTGGAGCTCAATCAGCTCTGGCTGCCACAGTGATTGCGAGACTCTCTTGAGTCGGAGCAAGAGCGCACAGAGAGATCAGAGAGCACGTAAGTCTCATGCCGCTCCTGAGCCTGAGCCCGAGCTGGTCTCGCTCGTCCGAGATCTTCAAGAAGAAGTTATGGAGTCGGTGGGACCAAAAGGGTTCAGTGCACTGGAGACCGCAATCGAGAGTGGTGATGCAAATCTTTGCAGAATTCTGGTAGAAGCCAGGGCAAATCTGGAAAACTCTCTCGACCGAGCCCTTGTCAGGTTAGATCATGACCATGGACAGAATGCCCAGAATGTTGAAGACGTCTGCAGGATTCTTTGGCATGACGGAGTTGAAATTGAATCCTTTGAGGCCTGGAAATCCAAGAAGCCGTGGGAGCGCTGTCTGCGAGCAGCTGCTACAGGCTGCACTTGGCTGGTAAAGGACCTTCTCCAGAAAGAAAAGCTGAAGTTTGAAGATGTGGTCTGTCCGCGAACCCAGTGGAATCTGACTTTGGAGGCTGCACTAACGTCTAATGGATCTCTCATGGAGCTTGCAATGCAAAATGGCAAGAACGTCACGAAATGCGACAGAAGCGGCCGCAATGCGCTCCACTACGCTGCCTTGCAAGGGGATGAGCAGTTGCTGGTGATGATCGCAGAGGGCCTCGGCCAGTGCGCGTTGGATCATCTGGACAGCGCTGACGAGCTGGGTCTGGCCCTCGGCCACAGCACTCCAAAGCCTGATTGCTCTGAGTTTTCGTGGGACCCTTGTGATCCGTGAGGCAGGACGCCTCTTTGGTATGCTGCTGGAGGCGCTACTGAAAGGGTCGGGTCGTTCCTGTTTGGGGACCTTGAGAGAGTGTCGAAGGACAGGCTGGTGCTGCTCGAACCCCGATGGTGTCGGGGTTCGAAAGGAATGCTCAAGACTGTGCTGTGTTTGTTTGGTGACTTTGAGTTGGGTGTGATCTCACTGATGGCCAGGTGGTCATGCTGGGGTTTGCTCTTGGCTTTGTTCACGACGATGTGACCCTGCGAAGCGCGATGTTGAAGGCACAAGTGCCTACTTTCAAGCCGTGTGTTCATCTCGCAATGAACCTGTGCTTGCAAGTCTGTTTCCTGGTAAACCTTGCTTGGTACACCAGTTTTTCGAATATACAGCGGATCACAAAGGGTTGACGTTATGGCATGCTGCTGCCATGACAAATGCCGTTTCTGCCGTGGAGTGGATGGTCCAGCATGCCGAATCCCCTTCTGATATACTGTGTCGAGAGTCTATGGAGGGCGACACACCGCTGCTCCGGGCGACCATGGAAGGCCATGTGGAAATTGCACTCCTTTTGATTACGTTAAGGGCAGACCCTGGGCTGCTGGCCCCGGGTTCTCCCAGAGACTGGGCGGAAGTGCTGCCCCTCCCCGAGCTGCAGAACACTTTCTGGAGGCACAGAAACGAAATTGCTGATGCAGGATGGGCGGTGCGATGGAATGCTTACAGACTCGCAGCAAAGCCTTGATCTGTCAAGATGATTTCCGAGTGGAAGTGGCGTTGCAGCGCAAGGAAGTTCCTCGCGCTTCTTCTCTGAGAAGACGCAGCGGAACCGCTTGCTCGACCTTCACCACCTTTGTGCTCATGCTCACAGCAAGCCTCGCTGGCCGAGTGCATGCTGCGACTCGTGAAGTAGAGGCAGCGAATTTCAACAGGTACCACACGAAAGCACGAAGCATCGGGCGGCCCACTCATGGCATGACCTGCTTTGCGTCAGAGAGAAGGGCCCTGAAACCAGAGCCGGCCCTGAGCCTGCAGATTGCCTCGGTCCGACGGTCCGACACTTCGATTTTTCAGTGTCACTCAAGGCTGTTGCCGGAGCAATCAAAGCTCCCATCAAACTTCAATCTTGAAGCACGACGGCTTGGTGAGACGTGGCTTGGACCACAGCCGAGCATTCAGAAGCATTCCCTGCGTTGGCGCAGCGAAAAAGAAAAGGGATGCCGGAGGCCCTCAGACAAATCAGTGCCAAGATAGGCTTCCTAAAGCCCTCGCCTGTCGACCCCAAGCTCGGAACCGAAGGATTCCCGCATCCGACGGGAGAGTTCGTGTGAAATTCTGCTTAAAGGGTCTGGACTACCAGATTCCAGTTTACCGTCCCGAATCGACCCTTGCAGGATGCAACTCGCATTTGGGAGTATCTTCGTCGACTGGTAAGCAAGGCTGAACATCAAGATTGCAACAATCGCGACAAGCGGAGCAGCCGCCGTAAGAAGAAACGTTTGCAGTAAAGACCGTGAAAGTATTGAGGACAAGACTGGGGGGCGCACCAGAGCTGGACAGCGGCACATGGAAAGAACACGCATATGCAGATGTGCAATCACGGCAGCAGCAGCAATGAGAAAGAACGAGAGGAATGATGTGAGCTTCCGGCCTCGGCCAAAACGCTCTCACCAGAACTGAGGACACAGATGTGCTCGCGATCAGCTTTTTAGATACTCCGACTTTACGAGGCACAAAGCACGACAAAGCACTCTCAGCTTCTCTGATCCCGGTCCCACGCGTTGTTTGACGCACCTTGGCGATTGGAGCAGATTGGCAGCGACGTCCATGCGAGCGAGATCACTCGGGCTTATCTGGGCACCAGCTCGCTAGTCCATCTAGAGCCGGTCTGGCACACACAGAACCCCGTTATGAAAGATCTTATTCCTGCACAGCGATTTCTAATCTGGAACCACCATCCCTGCCTGTAGAAGGCACCTCAGCCTGATGGCTTGTTCGTACCTGCACGGAAACTCACCGCAGCTGCAGCGTCGTCGTCCTTGCTTTATCTGGTAACTGTGCCGCAAAGCTGCCATTTGTCGGCAAGAAACAATCTTATCTGTATCAAGGATTTTGGAACCCTAGTGCTTTCGCGGTTCATAGTTTACTTTTCAGGTTTTAGGTTTTAGGTGTGGGATTACAGGTATTTCCTACTGGACCTTTACTTGCCTGCTGGGAACGAGTAGCATCCAGCTTCGAGCGTTGAGAATCCGTCCCCCCGCCCCCTCCCGTTTAATCAAGTGACGGCGCACATGACGAAATCAAACACGAAGCTTCCGGACTAACTCCTGAGCCACTACCCCGACGGTTCAAACTTACCGATGAGGAGAAGCCCGAGGCTGAATCTCACGAGCGGATGTTCCAGACAGAAGCAGCCCAAGACATTTCTGCTGAACTTTGAACATGAAGGCTCATACGGCATGTCATCTAGGCCAACAAGCTGACAACTTGACAGAAGGTGTGCAAAGGAGTTGTTGTTGCAGGATGGTCTATGTTCGCAGCATATTCATCACCACTGACCTGGAAGCACATGGTCTCCAGAAATAAACTCAGACAGAGTCCCGAGAAAGATGGTTCAGCAGGGGCGCAGAAAAGGCGGACATCACAAGCTCTTACAATCGTGACTGGATCCTTCCCCGCCAGACTCGAGGGGAAGCTTCGTCCACTTGGACGATCGTCACTTGATCCCAGCCGTGGCAGCGAAGCAAATTCACCGATCGTACCAAAACGCATACAGGAAAACACAAGCTGGAATCGCATAGCCGAGAAGGCCGGCTTGCCGTTGAAGATTGGACCATTGCCGAACACGCCGGAATTTCGAAAACGCACAACTGGGGGGAGCCTATTTTTCCCCAGAAGGATCGGGGGAATGCGTGAATTCGTGTTGCGATGAACACAGAATCTCGGATCCGCGCCGTCCGCAGCCAACAGTTATCGGGAACCAAAACGAAGATTTTCTTGAGCATGCATCGCAGCTTTTGCTGGTCAGCAGGAAATATCGAAGTAGCTGCTAGAAATGATCGGAAAGTGCAAAGAGCACAAGAACGACGGTATCAAAGGCAGTAGTATCGATGCATACAGTCACAGGCAACTGGCTTGGAAGGCACTGCAATTGCTGGCCACTCTTGTTGCCCAAGTTCCGGCACCCGCATTGATTCCCGAAGATCCCAACTATAATTTGATCGAGACCGTACAGCTGAACCAACTTACACCTCCTGCCAGTCCGAGTAACCGTTTGAGTTGTAATTATGTAATTCAGATTGTCAAGATGCCGTTCTCATAGGACGATATCCGGCATCAGCTCAAGAGAAGAACTACAGTAACGAAGTAAAGTGTAAGACTTGAATCGCTCAGGAACAGCAAGAAGAACTTACCAATTCAGACGCCCAAACATTCAGACATGTAGTTGAAGACTTAGGAGTCGGCATTGTGCATAAGTGCATAAGTGAAAGATTCAAATTACAGTGCAAGAATGTGCAAGAGCGGACGCGCTGGATGTTCTTTCGCCTCAAACTTGGTCATGACGACGTGCTTGGATTCGAATCTGTATGGTCCTTCATAAATCAAGGCTTTATAAGGGTTCCAGAAGTTTTGACAGGTCGGGTGCGTCGTGTCTGGGAGGTGTTGCGGGGTGTTAAGTTGTGTGTCGGAGCTTTGAGTTGTTACTTCCAGCTGTTTTCCGATTGTAACTTCTTTTCCCTACTCAAGCGGCTGATGTCGTTATAATGTTGGGCTTACACGTCTGAGCGCTTACAGGGGGGTTGAGGCCTATTCCAAGTTTTAGGGTTTAAGGGGTTTTGGGTCTTGCAGCCGGTTTTGGTTTTTCTAAGGTCCCTTTTGAACGTGCATGCTTTGCGGTCCTGGGTGACTGCTGCAGTCCTAGACGATCGGTCACCCGCGTTTCAACGTCGCAAGCTTTCTGGACCATTCGTTTCATGCTGAGCCGTAGTTCATCGTAGCGAGAGGAGGCGGTGTATGTGGCACGAGTGCACAAGGTGTTACATCTCATCCTCTGCTGTGCTGACATCGAAACTGAGTATGTCCGAAAGTAGGGTAAGACAGACAAAAAAAACGAACGCATGTGTTCATTACTGTATCATCCAGCAGCCACGTCACAACGCAATGCACATCGTCGGTCGGTAGATATGCAAGATGCTTCTCCGCAGTTGGCAGGCTTGGCTGTTGGCACCCAGATTGTCGCAAGCAAGTAGGATGTTGACTTGAAGGTCAAGGAGAGAGAGATTCCGCTCCCGCAGTGCCTCCGGTTGCAGCCCTAAGGGTCGTGCCAGAGTCTAGCGGCGAGTTGGAGTTGGGGTGGCACCGTACGCAATTTCGTTTGTCGAGGCGCCGGCGCCACCTGCAGAGGCAGAGAGCAGAAGCATGTTCGCCGAAGCCCCCATGCGTGCATGCGTACTTCGAGAGTAGGGAGCTGCTGAAGCACCAGATGCGCTGAATCGCACCGGCTCTTTTGCAGAGGCGCGGCAATCCTGACACCAGCCCCGATTCTGGTGGTCCAGGGGTTTTTGCTTCCTTCACAGGCCACAGCACAAGAAGTGCCGCCTGGTGGGCTGCTCCACCTGCAGGCTTGCGCATTGGTAGGAATCATACGGCATCGAAGCTGAAAGGGGCTTCCGAGCAAGACCACGCGTCTAACGACAAACCAGTTGAACCGAAGCCGAGCCAAAGTTTGGACCCGCAAGTCTCTTGTCAGTCTGGCCTAACCCTTCCCGCATTTCGATGAGAGAGGCTGGGCACAACACCTGACAGAGACCCTGACAGGGATGGGCGCAGCTTTGTGAGACAAACGGGAACCCTGCTCAGCGAAAATGCTGAAATCAAAACGCTGTGCTTCGGAACTTCACCGGGATGGACGACTTCTACTCTATTGCCAAGAAATGCCAGGCTTTAGCAATTTTCAGCACCCGAAGGGCCTCATGGATGGGCTGGGTTTAGGGAATTTAAGGGATTACAATTCGGTCAGTGCGCAAGGCTGGTTCGTGATCAAGGCGTTGGGTGTTTCAAGACCAGATGATGCAAGCATGCTCAAGGTAGCTTTGTCCAACTTGGGTTTACAAGGTCAGTAAGCCCCTGCACAACGAAAAAAGGCAATCAGGGGAGAGCTATGGAGAGATGCCGTCGCTTGAAAGCCACAAAGGCCGTATGTAGTCTGGGTCAGGTGTCTGTGCAGCTCGGTGACTACTGGCTACAAGCATATGGGTTTCTGACTCTTGCCATGGACTGAGTTTCTGGACGGTGGATGATCAATTACGATGCAATGATTTTCTGGACTTGGACCAGGTGTTACAGATCGGCAAAGCCGCAAAGTTCGACTATCCCCCAGGTGTGTGAAGATGTCGAAATAGCATCTAGGACCTGATCAGCAGATGAATGCAAGGTTGGAGTTGGACGGAGCTATCCGTGCTGGTGCTTTACTTTGCTGTCTTGCAGCTGCATCGCGTAGCGGGATGCTTTGCGAACAGGCTTGGTTCCAAATTTTATTGCAAAAAGCTCAAGACAAAGATGTGTCCAATTGACAGGGCACAGAATGCTCTTTCTACCGGCTGTTTCCTGGCGCTGACGGCTGTGCTTGTCCTCGTGACGGGATACTTCGGGGCCTTGCAGGCAAGATCCGATCGTGGCAGATGCATACATGACTTTCAGCGAGGGCAGCTCCTGTCCCAGGTCTATGTGCTTCAAGTTGAATTCGCGACGGGAATCGTGTCTCTGTCGTGGCCTTGCCTGCGTGAGGATTGCAGAAATCGAGCCAACCCAATGTCTTGTGGCACTCAAGGTCTATTCTTGGCTGTCAGCTTGTACTGGGCATCTTCGCTGGTCAAAGATACTCGAAGAGGAAAGGGCACACGATGATATGGGATGTACAAGATGCACGAGAACCGAGGAAGTTGTGCGTGCCAGGCTGCTCGACGTCGTCTTGCTCTGCTCCTGCGCAGCTCTCGCAGTGATCGCTCTGGTGTCGGCCAGCATTCTGGACACACAACTGTCACGCCACCGCAACCAGAGCGGTTGAAAGATTGACCAATGCTTCAATGTGCTTCTCAAGACTTTTCGATTGCAGGATGCGACAGCTCACACACTGGGCGCCGGGCAGATGCAGCTCGCTTAGATGCTGGGAACGTCTTGATCCCATGAGCAGTGTTCGTGCACGGCTTTTGAGGCAATTTTCATTGGCTGCTGGATTGACTCTTGCACTCTTTGGTTTGCTTATGGCACTCGTAGCTGGATGCTGTTTAGTGCGTGACGTGTAGCGGCACAATTCGGAATTCAATTCGAAGGCAGCCGCTAAAACGCGTTTTGAACATATTGATTATATATATATATATATGTATGTATTAATTAATTACATATATACATACATGCAATCGTGCCCGTGGTACGACCGCGCATGCTAGCCCCCAAAAGATCTAACCCTGAAGCATCGAAGGTGTTTCGCTAAAGCAAACGTCGAAGGGGTTTGCTATGATTCGAGGTCTCCGAATGGCCGTGGCCATTTCGGCTAGAATGCCTCCTAACGGGAGGCTAGGGGCGCGGGGCTAATGGCCCCGCTTTGCCGCTATGTCAGATGCCTCTCTCTTCTTTCTCTCTCTCTCTCTCTCTCTCTCTCTCTCTCTCTAGACTTCGCACAGTAAGACCGAGGTCGTGCTCCCGAAGATCAGGATATACCTCTGCTATCGGGACAACCATCGCTAGTCCCGGGGAGGTAGACTATGGACTGCTAGAGGGGATGGGCACACTTTAGCTTGCAGCTAGAGACCTTAGCGCTTGCACGCGAAAGTTCAGTATCTGTCTGTCTGTCTGTCTGTCTGCCTGCCTGTCTCTCTGTCTATCTGTCTCTCTCTCTATCTATCTATCTATCTATCTATCTATCTCTCTATCTATCTATCTTTCTGATATAATTTGTCGCAACCATATTCGGGTCTTGGCTGTCAACTGCTCCGGCCAAGGGCTCCATGAAGGGCAGTTCTTCATGCACAATGCAGTTTATCGTGAGGTGCTCTCAGTTTGATGGTTGCCGTTGGCTCCTATGCAGCAGGTTGCAGCCGGCGACAAATTGCGTATGCGGACATTGCACCTCTATATTATTGCTGCCTCTCCCAGGCTACGCAAAAGACCTCGCGTCCTGCTTATAATTCTGCCCTCGGCCTTCGGCATGGCACTCTGGATGAAATTTGTCGCAAGGTGCGGTCACTTGAAGCTTGGCTTCACCTTTGGGATGGCTATCGTAAAAGTGAATAATCGCAGGTTACCTCTGGCGACATGAATCGGTGTCAACGTGTATGATTAGATGTCCAAGTGTCCATGACTGACTTTGGCACCGGAAAATTACGTGCAAGAATTCGATGTCAACTTGTCCGTAGCTGCACCGCTTCGCGAGATTTGCACCTTCGCGCTGAGACTTGGCGCTCTAAATTTTCTACAAATTTGCAGACTTGGGCTGTCGTTGCCGGAATACTGCCAAGCTGCATATTCCACTTGAATACCGCTGCTGCTCTCTGCATTTCTCTATATGATCTATATTTCTCTATGAATCTTTGCATATGAATATATATATATATATATATATATATATATACAGAAAATAACATAATACAGGCCCCAGTTTTCGGCGGGCCACACATATACGTCCTTTCTTCCTGTGTCCATGTCTAGCTTTAATTA